TGCCCTGGCTTTGTCGTTACCAGCGAGTGTATCGACCGCCCCGGGTATTCCGCGACGCTGAGGTGCGTGAGAGCGTGTGCCTGTTGCTGGAGCGCACCCGCGGTGGCCGGTTTGTAGCGGGATGGGCATGGCTGGCGGTGAGGCCTGAGCCCGCAGCGGTGGGGCAGTTGGCGAAGTCGGAGGAGGAGGAGGAGGAGGAGGAGGAGGGACATGAGCTGGCGTCGATCGGTGCTGCGAAGGCTGCAACACGTGCAGGAGCTTTAGCAACAGCCGCCCCTGGCGTTATGGACGACACGCAGCCGTCAGGGACAGAGCAGCAGCGGCGACGGCGAGGGCGACAACAGCAGCAGCAGCAGCTGCGCTGGGTCAAGGCCTGGGTTGGGGTCTGGTACCGGGTCGTGGATTGGTGGTTTCGGAGCTCCTGGGTCACGGCCCTGTGGGGGTTTGGCAACGCGGGGGTTGAGGTGGGCATGGAGACGCAAGCAGCAGAGGATGAGGAGGCAGTAGCGGTGGTTGCGGCTGTAGGTGGCGGCGGGTTTCGGGGCGGCTGGTCACCGAGGGGCGGGCGGCCTTTGCGGCGGCTGCACCTTGGAGCGCCTCACCCCAGCTTTGAGGGACCCGTGGACCTGCAGGTGCTGCGGGGGAGAGGCCGCTGCGGGGGAGAGCTTAATTTAGAACCACCAACACGTCACCTCAGGGCTCCGTGTATCGGCTGTCACGTTCTCATATCCTCCATCTCTCTCCGCCTCCAACCCGCGGACGGCCCCCGCGTTCACCCATGTTATGATTATTTAATTTTATTCATCGATGCGGCCGTGCCCTTGCCGCGGGCTGTGAAAATGTACGTCTGCTGCTGCTGCTGCTGCTGCTGCTGCTGGTGGACCAGCTGAAAGGTCAGCTGCTGCTGCTATGGCCACAGTCTGACAGTCACTGATGAAAAAACGTTCACACAATCCGTTCACACATTATGTCTCGCTTCGACCTCCCCTGCCCTCGACCTGCTCCAGGCGGTGGCGCTGTTCCGAGGGCTGCCCTCCCTCGCTCGGAGTGTGGTGGTGTCCGGGAAGCACCGCCGGGCGACAGCCGCAGACAGCGCCTGCCTGCCGGGATTTGGCTACCCAGCCAGCGATCCGAGCCACAACGACCGGGATGCCTTCAACATCATCTCGTTTGCGCTGCTTCAAGTGGAAAAGGAGGAGCTGGGTGCAGGCTGTAGCGCAGGTGGCCGCGGCGATGGTGCCAACAGCAGCGACATCGCTGACAACAACAGTGGCAGCGGTAGAGGTCACGGCGGCGATGGCGATGATTATGGTGGTGGTGATGGTGATGGTGGTGGTGATGGTGGTGGTGATGGTGGTGGTGGTGGTGGTGGTGGTGTTAGGGGGGCAACCGTTGGGGGCCAAGCCGTGTTTCTGCAGCTCCACGGCAAGAAGGAGGAGAGCTGTCCTGTCAGCACTGTCTTCGCCTCCGGCGGGTTCGGAAGTAATGCTACAGCCTTCTACAGCCGCAAGGACACGGCAGTAGCGGCCCTGGTGGCGGCGCTGGAAGAGGTCACCGGAGCAGCAGCAGCAGCAGCGGCGGCGCCTCCGCCCCCGCCAGCAGGCACCAGTAGCAGCAGTGGCGGCTGGACGGTGAGCCTGCCGCCAGATGACCCGGCGTGTGCTCTAACAGCTACTCGCAATGTGTTCGGCAGGGGTGTCAACGGCGTACCACGGCGGGATGTGTGCACCAGGCCGGCGGATGCTGGCGGCGGGAGCGGCGGCAGAAGCTGCTTCGGGTCGTTTGTGCACGTAGAGCAGGCAGAGGCGGCACGGGCGCCTGCGGTGTGGGCTCTGTGGGTCGAGGCGCTACAGATGCTGCAGAGCTGGGCTAGGGTTGGTGATCTGTAAACCATGTATGTATGTATTATGTATATTGCAAAAACATATGCACGTGCATGTGCATGTGCATGTGCATGTGCATCTTACGGCTCAAGGCCCAGTCCAGAAAGGGTTCGTAGTGCTGCAGTTCGGTCATTCGACTAAAGGCGCTACTTAAGAGAGAGTGTGTCTGAGTGTCGCGGAGGAGTGTTCCGTTTGAGGTCCAATTATTTAAATAAAAAAGTGTGATTTTTTGAGTTGGGTAGATTGTTGCTGCATGTCTCTCTCTCTATATATATATATATATACGTAGATCGTAACTGGTTCAGTAAGCTAGAAGTGATAGAATATGAAGAAAAAAAAGAAATCAGTGAGCGCCGATAGCCGAAATAGAACCAGTAACAAAATTAATAAAATCCACTATGGAAAATATGATTATCATCTTTTGAAATTTCCGGAAGTTGTTGAGTTTTATTTAGCCGATCTTGGAAATGTTGACGATAGGTTTTAACGTTTTTCTTTAAGTAACTCCAAT